TACCTGAGTAAATAAAACAAATTAAATAAATAAAACAAATCCTTTTCAACTTTGTATCTCTTTAGTTGCAGAGAATGAATCATCAAGCGACGAAATCGACGGTATTGATGCTCAGACACAAACACAGAGAGAAGGTTGGTCAAAAATAAAATACATGAATTCATAATATTTTTTTTATTATCTATTCAAAATAATTTTCTTACATGTAATTATATACATCTTACGTATATAGTCAATTTATAAATTATTTCTCCACTTCATTTTCATTGTTGCAGAAAATGATCCCGTAATGGAAGATACCATGATAGGTAATAATTATTTGTAAGAAGCAAGTGGGTTTAAATAAAAGGAAGGTTACAATAACGGGTGGACATAATATTTATGCTCTTCTCAGACGAAGTGGTTACATAATTTAATTTTGACAATACCTAATGGACATGAAAATGCATACTGTGCAGGCTCTATTACAGTAAACTTTTCCCGTACACGGTTAGTTATGTGAAGGTTGGAAAGAGGGTAACAGATCAGATTACTACAGTATTTATCACATTATATTAAGTTAATTATTTATACTGGACACAATAACTATCATTTAAGAAAATGTTGGAAGTAAAGATCGTTTCTTTTATCATTTTTTTATTCAGTAAGATGCTAAAGAGCATTTTATCATTTAAAAATTAAAAAATGACGGTATTTTTTAAAAAGAGAAAGTTGCTTTTAATATCAAATAAATAGGAAAAACAAGCTCTTATAATTGCGTTCAAGGTAAGAAAATTCGAAATTTGCATCAAATTACTATGTATGTTTAAATACACATTTCAAATTATATACTGAAAGGAAAAAGAAACGCAGGGTAAACTTTTGAGGTTAATTAAATTTGTTTTCCTTAAAATACTTGTAAGTTTTCCTATATAACTTTTAAAATCACCTTTCAAAAAGATATAACCAAATTCACATATGATTTTGTCTAATTATTCATGAGTTATTGAAGCTCAAATGACGATACCCTCCAAAAGTGAAAATCGAAAACATTCATTATCTTCAATGTCTATCTCGTGCATCTGTCATAGTCTTATTTCTCCTTTGCATGGTATTTCATCAGAGTGTTTATCTTTCAAACCCTGGCTATATTTAGCATGGGTAACCACACAAAAAAATAAGTCAAACGGCGCGCGCATGCGCCAGTGAGAGGAATACAACAGTAAGTTGACTGGCTCAAAAAACCAAATTGCGGAATTGTTTTCTTTCAAATTTCGTATGAATGTAATGATTATAATCGTCTTCTCTATAAATGGCTGTTTTTGTGGTAGTAAGGTGGCGATTTAAGAGATGGCAGGACGAATAATCCGCTCGTAACATGGCTCTGTTTCGCGTTATCGTCATCGTCACGGTTGATTGAAAACCACTCCAGACCCTCTCTGACAACGGGTAAAATGTTTTATGGGGGAAAATTTACAAGAGACAACTTAGTAAACCGTTGTTGCCTTTTTCATTAATTAGGCAATTCGAAAACAAGACCCCATTGAACTTCCGTAAACTGAGCCAAGATTGCAATAAATTCATAATGTCTCTTAATATTGAAAAACGAAGTGCATACCTCATATGCATCAAATAATGCAACAAGATTTGTTGACAAACTTGTCGTTATCAAATTGCACGTGTTTTGGGCTTTTTAGCGTTTTCCCTACGTGACGTCATAAATTTTACGGTTGAGTAATTCTGAATACTGATTTTGATGCACAGTAACTTAATTTCCCGTCTGACCAATTTTCGTAATTTTAGGTCATGTGGTCAAATTTTTATTGAAAATTATGCTACCCTGCGTTTCTTTTTCCTTTCAGTATAGCTATCACATTCAAGATCCATATGCTTTATCCAATTTTGGGATTTAGGATTTATCTATAAAATTCATGTAAAATACTAACAAGAATAGAACTTTAATAGATAGAGTAAAACAGATGAAATACCTTAAAGTAGGTATACGTGTATTTACCCAAAGCATCAAGGTATACGTCCAAAACTTTCTTTTTTAATTTTTAGACAACATTGCGAAAGAAATTTTAGCCGAATACACCATTGAAAACGCTCAATTGTTTAGTCTTTTAAAACAACAATGCAAATTGGAGGATACAATGGGTTTCACCACCTACTTTCTTCACGGGTAAAAAAAAAAGGACTATAGAAAGGACATTTTGCGACAAAGAGACGAGGATGGTCTTACACTTCTTCATTATGCTGCAATTGGAGGTTCAACTCGAATATTTGATGATATTTTACAAACTGATAACAGCCTGAAAGTTGATGTTAAATGTAATAGAGGTCAAACGGTTCTGCACTATGCAATAAGAGAAGGTCAAGAGGAAATGAGTATTTACCTAATTACAAAATATGAGGAACTGCTTTGTGGCATCAAATCTGATACAAAACAAAGACCTGAAATTCATGAAGATTCAGAAAAGAAAATTACTCCAAGCTTTGAATCAATCCATTGGATTGCATGGATTGGTAAATTAGACCTTCTGGAAACTATGAAAAGGAGAGATATGAACACACCGTCATGTCTTGATATGGCAAAAACAACAAGAAATGGTCTTAATATTTTACACATAGCTTGCTTGGCAAATGATAATACTTTCTGTAAACATGTAATTGAAAATGAAAATCAAATTGACATCTTTACAATAGATACCTGTGGATGGAATGCTGCTCATTTTGCTGCAAGAGCAAATAACTATGCCTTTTTTGATATACTTAAACAATGTAAAAAAGAAAATCTTATTGAAATCAAAACCAAAAGTGGAAAAACAACTTTACATATAGCTTGTGAATATGCAAACGAAATGCTATTTATGTTCATAAATGATTTTATGCCCATTTCTTGTGTATTGAAAGTGGGACAAGCGAGATAACTCTAATACTTTTGTGCAGTCTTGTTTTTCCAACAGCCGCAGTATCAGATTGAGTACAATCAGTGGCAGCGCCATATTTGTATGGAAATACAAGTTTAATTTTGAACAAGCAAGTTGGCTTACAGCGTGTCCAGTGCACAATTAATACATTTGATGGACTTCTCGTGATGTGATCTTTTGGATTTCCAAGGAATTCAACACATTTTCGACGCTTATATCATTATGCGAGGAAATAGAGACAACATTAAAACAATTATATTTAATGTAAAAAATGTAGCGATTTCGGTCATTGGGATTAGTGGGGGCAGAATAGGCCGAAGTATGGACATTAGAGTGCTAGAAGAGGAGATTCAAAGGAACCGACCACTAACCGACCGAAGCTAATTTTACATATTGCGGGAAACGATATCGATCAGCCGCATGCTGATGAGGACTCGGTAAGGGAAATTGTGTCAAAAATAATGGCGACATGTGACTTGTTTTTAAACCGGTATCATTTAAATACACTATAGGCCTAGATATATGTGTGTCAGTTTTTACCAAGATATTCCACCAGACACTGCCGAGTTGTTTTATATAATAAGTAAATAGTCTTGGCAAATCAATTTTTAAAAGAAGTTAAAAACAGAAGGCAGGTTGTGTACTGGAAGTTAAAGGGCTTGAAGAACTCTGTAGTGAATAACTTTTGTGATGATGAACCATATGAACCATATTGGCAATGTAAATATTACAGGGCAATCAGGGGTGCTGTGATACATAGTACAAGTGATAGCTAGCTAAATATTTTGTATGTCATATAGCCATATAACAATTATAATTAATTTGCATTTTAAATTTATGAAACAGGCAATACATGTATATGTAGCTTATTATGCATATATGACACAATGTTATACTTTCAGCAGTTTTCGGTTTAATCACATATTAGATGCACTGTAGAGAGCCAGTCCAAGAGTGGGAAATACAGCAAGGGACCCTTGTGATCGAGCATTTATTTTTACTTAGAACAGTTAGTCTGGAAACTTTTTCTATTGCAGGAGTTGCAGTAGAGCCTGTGATAATTTGCCACATGTTCAAGTATGAGTGGTAATTTTGCACATACTGAACAATTAGTGGTATTTTAATGTATTATTGAATCTTGATAATTTTATCAAGTTACAAATGCGATAATTCTATCGCTATGCTTTACAATAAGTGATAATTTTATCACATCTTGATCAGTGCTGAATCTTGATAATTCTATCAAGTTATAAATGCGATAATTCTATCGCAATTAGTGATAATTTTATCACGTCTTCAATAGTGCTGAATCTTGATAATTCTATCAAGTCATAAAAGCGATAATTCTATCGCAATTAGTGATAATTTTATCACGTCTTGATCAGTGCTGAATCTTGATAATTCTATCAAGTTTTAATGCGATAATTCTATCGCAATTAGTGATAATTTTATCACATCTTCAATAGTGCTGAATCTTGATAATTCTATCAAGTCATAAATGCGATAATTCTATCGCAGTTAGTGATAATTTTATCACGTCTTGATCAGTGCTGAATCTTGATAATTCTATCAAGTTATTAATGCGATAATTCTATCGATATTAGTGATAATTTTACCACGTCTTCAATAGTGCTGAATCTTGATAATTCTTTCAAGTTATAAATGAGATAATTCTATCGCAATAATAAGTGATAATTTAAATTAATTTTATCACGTCTTCATTAGTGCTGAATCTTGTTAATTTTATCAAGTTACAAATGCGATAATTCTTTTGCAATGCTTCACTAGGGATAGTGAATTAATTACTGATATTGCAATGGTTTCTTGATACATTGTGTAGCTCTATTTCACTAGTGCACTGTAATTATACAGATTGTTTTAAAATATAAACAATGATATGTTTAAAGAATTACCCTAGAGTCAGGTCTAATGGGTAATTTTATCCTATTGCCTGATATGGGCTAATATTTGGATGAGTAAATCAACAATAATTTTGCCACATTAAAGCTGATAATTTTATCAGTCATAGATAGGTTGAATTCTTGACATGATTTGTTTAAATTAGGCATACATGCTAACATCCAATTATAGAAATGAATATTGGTAATAGGCCTACAGCCTATGGGGGTGGTTACAAGACCAGTTAATTTACAACAAGAGGAAGTCGCAAGTGACACTCCAACAAGCAACAATCATTCAAGCCAAGAATCCCTGTATCATTAGGCCATAGGGTCTCGGTGTAGATTCTAAGATAAAAAGCAAAATCTGGGGAAGTAAATTTGTTGATTTGGAAATTTGTTAGGAATCAAAAATAAGAATAATAATAAAGGCTTTGAAATCAGTGAAAACTTAGAAGGGGAGTGTGAAATCTAGCCCAAAAACAAACATTAAATTCAGAAATCCCTAGTGAGGCACTGGCTATTAGTTTGGGTAAATCCAAAGTAGGTCTTAATTCTGGGTTTCGGGTATTCTTAATAAATTCAAATCTGTTCAATATCAGGAGGTAGAAGATGCAGTAGGTTTAATGCGCATATATGGGAAAAATTGTGGGTTGTTTAAATTGGATATTCAAAATGCATATAAAATTATTCCAATACATTGTTCAGATTAGGAATTTTGGGTTGGGTTTTACTTTAGACATAGAATACTATTTTGACAAAACTCTCCCTATGTGACTAAATTTTTCTTGTCAGTTATTTGAAGAATCCAGTACTGCAGTACATTGGGTATGTGAAAACAAGTTAGGCTTACATGGGAGACTAGTTCTTGATTTTGTTCAAGGATATTAAGGAGTTAAAAACTGTCCTTCCCTGCACTTCGCTTATATTTTTGGGTATTGAGTTGGATTCTATTTTGATGGAGTCATGTTTACCACAAGACAAGTTAACTAAAGCTAGACACCTTCACAAATTCACAAGTCTAAAAAATCTATAACATTACTAGAGTTACAGTCTGTAATAGGTTTGTTAAACTGCGCCTGTTCAGTGATCATTTCAGGACGACCATTTCTTAGGCGTCTGATTGATCTGTCAATTGAGTTAACTCAACCTTTTCATCAAGGAAGCTCTAGCGGATTTAAATGCTTATTATGGCCTAAAACCTGGAAAACCTATCATATTACAATAAAAGGAGTTATTTCCCAGTGTACTTGCAGTTCAGCTTTGGGCAGATCAGTCAGAAAATCGATGTATTATTATTAATTTTTTTTTTCACGGATAATGAGGCTGTTGTGCACATCATCAACAAACAAACCTAAAGTAAAGTCAATCATGGTTCTTGTTTGTCATTTAGTAGTGCAATATTTTAAACACAATATTTATTTCAAGGAAAACATGTATCGGGTTTAGATAAAGTTTTAGCTGATCATCTTTCTTGCCAGCAGATTCCACAGCCCCTTCAAAAATTTTCCTACAACAACCCTGTAGCATGCCATAACAACGAGGACAATCTCAAAGTTTAGAATCAATAGCTTCAGACCTAATAAATCAGGAATTAGCATCATCAACTCATAATACTTATCAAAGGGCAATTGATTATTACCATTATTTGGTGTCATCATTTTGCTTTGCCAACTAAAGGTGTACCAGCAAAAGCAAAAGCTTAAGATATCATTTTGTTTATAGTTTATTGTTACTGGCAACCTATGTTTCAGCATAATATGAAATATGAAAGCCCCAACTTTTAGTGAAAAAATGATTACAAGGTTACAAGAAAAAGACAAGCTTAGTGGACACTAGGTTACCTATAACACAAATCATTCTTAAACAGCTGATAGCTTCTTTACAATATACAACAAGTTTATATTTTGTACAGGTACTTATGAAAAGTGTGTATTTAGTGGCATTTTCACTGTTTTCTTAGGATTGCAAAATTTACAGCTTCAAAAGACAGAAATTGTCATTTATTGACAGTATACAATTTGTACATTTTTAGAAAATATTTCAGACTGCCCAATAGGGTTGGAGTTGACTATGAAAACTTTCAAACATGGTAAAGGTCAATTTTACACTTTGCATGTGAAAAATAACTGCAAAGATAACACAATATGTCTTGTTCAGGCCCTATGGTCATATTTTCAATTATAAAAACCAACTTCTGGTCCTCTTTTTACTTTCATGGATGGGTCACCAGTGTCATGGAAATATTGTACAGATCAGTTATGTTTGTCATTGAATTGGTGTGGGGTAGATTGTAAATGATATAAAGGTCACAGCTTTAGAATCTGAGCAGCCACAACGGCTTTTTCCAATGGAGTTCTAGAGCAAAAAATTAAAGCAATGGGGCTGTGGGTCATCAGACGCTTTCAAAAAGTGCATTCGAATCCCCTTTGTAAGCCTTTGACTGCTCACGAGGTGAGGTTGAGGTAATGAGTTATGACCATGGTGACAAGAGCATCTGGTCAGATTGTAATTCATGACATTTCAAATCTACTCTGAGTTAAGTTCCTATAAAATAGTGAGTAATTTGTTTACTTGTTTGGTTGATTGCAATCAAGTGTTTTAATTACTGGTGTCACAAAATGATACCTGATCATGGTGACAGGAGCATCTGGTCAGATTGTAATTCATGACATTTCAAATCTACTTTGAGTTGAGTTCATATAAAATAGTGAGAAATTTGTTTACTTGTTTGGTTGATTGCAATCAAATGTTTTAATTAGTGGTGTCACAAAATGATACCTGATCATGGTGACAGGAGCATCTGGTCAGATTATAATTCATGACATTTCAAATCTACTTTGAGTTGAGTTCATATAAAATAGTGAGAAATTTGTTTACTTGTTTGGTTGATTGCAATCAAATGTTTTAATTACTGGTGTCACAAAATGATACCTGATCATGGTGACAGGAGCATCTGGTCAGATTATAATTCATGACATTTCAAATCTACTTTGAGTTGAGTTCATATAAAATAGTGAGAAATTTGTTTACTTGTTTGGTTGATTGCAATCAAATGTTTTAATTACTGGTGTCACAAAATGATACCTGATCATGGTGACAGGAGCATCTGGTCAGATTATAATTCATGACATTTCAAATCTACTTTGAGTTGAGTTCATATAAAATAGTGAGAAATTTGTTTACTTGTTTGGTTGATTGCAATCAAATGTTTTAATTACTGGTGTCACAAAATGATACCTGATCATGGTGACAGGAGCATCTGGTCAGATTATAATTCATGACATTTCAAATCAACTTTGAGTTGAGATCCTATATAAAATATTGAGTAATTTACTTGGTTGATGTCTATCAAGTGTGTTAATTACTGGTGTCACAAATTATACCCAATCATGGTGACAAGAGCATCTGATTGTAAAATAAATATCAAACCAGTAATAGAGAATATGAAAGTTTGGAAATTGTCAAAATATGTGAACAAGTTTGACACATTATTTGTTTCAGCAAAGAGGACATTGGCTTAGAAAAAACATTTTCAATCATGATGACAGGAGCATCTGGTTGTATCAAGAAGTAGTAAAGTTTTGATGTAATTATGTATCTAACAAACTTTGCGTACAAGGCATAATAATATGGTATTGTTTTACAAGAGTTGAAATAGTTTCTTTGTATGTTGGTAATGTGTTATTTTTCATTGTTTGTATCCAGTTTGTATGAATTTTAGGGATACTTCTATTGTAGTAAGATTAAGACTCGCACTTAGGGTTGGGTGGGGATTACTGCTGATGACAGTTCAGATCTGCCTGTCATTGGCAGTAAGTGGCATTTTTACCTTACCCCACCTTTGATGTAAAAGTTTTATACAGTAATGTTTTGATCTATTTGGAAGTTGCATGTAGTGATATTGGTATCACTGCAAGGTTTATAAATGTAAATCTATCAAACTACATTTTCATTTTTGTAATAGTTTTACAAAATTGTCATTTGATAATAAATGACCTTTTTCAACTTCAAACGGTGTTGTGTTTGAGTCAGATAATGTAATATTACATCAAACAGAGCAACCTATAGTGCGAGTATCAGGAAGATGGGCATAAATGCTATTTATGTTCATAAATGATTTTATGCCCATTTCTTGTGTATTGAAAGTGGGACAAGCGAGATAACTCTAATACTTTTGTGCAGTCTTGTTTTTCCAACAGCCGCAGTATCAGATTGAGTACAATCAGTGGCAGCGCCATATTTGTATGGAAATACAAGTTTAATTTTGAACAACCCTCCCACCTCTCCCTTATAGTTAAAAATTTATAGTGTTCTTAATTGATGTGAATAATTTGATAATAATTTTCCATATTTCTTTTTTCAGTAGGTAAGGCATTTTTACCTTACCCCACCTTTGATGTAAAAGTTTTATACAGTAATGTTTTGATCTATTTGGAAGTTGCATGTAGTGATATTGGTATCACTGCAAGGTTTATAAATGTAAATCTATCAAACTACATTTTCATTTTTGTAATAGTTTTACAAAATTGTCATTTGATAATAAATGACCTTTTTCAACTTCAAACGGTGTTGTGTTTGAGTCAGATAATGTAATATTACATCAAACAGAGCAACCTATAGTGCGAGTATCAGGAAGATGGGCATAAAAGGTCGTTGATTACCTGCTGAAAAATCATAAAACACTTTTAAATGAAGCCGATGAACTGGAATGGAATGCACTTCATTATGCAACAAAAGGTGGGAATCTAAATATTTTGAAAAAATTAATCTTTTGTGGATTGAAAATTACTTCCCTCACTATCGAAGGGAAAACTTTACTTTATGTAGCATGTTTTCATAAACAAGTGAACATTTGTAGTTATGTAGTTGATGAATTTGTAAAAGCAAATCGAACCGATCTAATAAATAAAAAGACAACGAACTACAAGTGGCTAGCTGTGCACTATCTTGGTGTTGAAAGAACAGGACATGGCAGAGAAAAGACTATTCTTGACATTCTCCATGAATGTAACATGGATTTGAAAGGTGGGACGGGTGATGGACATAGTATTCTGGATATAGCTGTAGAACATGTAAATGAAGAACTAGTAGACTGTATCCTCTCAGAAAAATACATTAAAATTATGGATATTGACAAACAAAAGCTACAAAAGGCATTAAAAAAGACAAATAATGAAAGAATTAAAATGATTATCACAAAAGCTCTTGAAAAGCTGTAATTCGCATAGGAAATGTTATAACAGAGCAAGACTCTACTTCGGACATTTTACCGTTATAACTGGATACAGGTAACTGGTAACGAAGTATAATTGAAACGGGTGAAATGTAAATCGGCACTTGCAAGCCTAAGAAATTGTTCTTGATTGTTGTTATTAAATTTTAACTTTTTGTACACATTTTTTTCTTTGCGTAGATTTAATTTTGTTGTTTAATATCAGTAGTAACAAAACATCTCTTACCTAAAGTTGATTACAAGCATTGTAAAAGTACATGACTCTATAAAAGATCCCCAATCTTTTAAACAATTATTTAAAATATATTTCTTAAGAAGAGAAACGATGCTTTCAAAAACAAGGTTCTAAATGATAGTCGGTACACATCAGATGAGAAAAAAAAGTTTCCTGAGAATGATGATTTTTGTCTAAATACATGTACATCGAATCAAGAACTAAAGATCATTATATTACAATCCAATGAGAAAATCATATACAGTGGACCCTCATTTATCCGGACGCTTTGGTTCCCAGTAAATTTGTCCGGATATGTGAAGCATCCGGATATCTGAATCACCAGTTAAACAAGACAGAATAACATTTTAAAATTTCGTTCCGATGAAAAATCGTCCGGATACTGAAGCATCCGGACATCTGGCGTCCGGATATCTGAAGGTCCACTGTAGTATATTTCTTCACACTCACAGTACAGTGAATATTGACCACATGTGTAAAAACATTCTTTTACTCAAATAAGCAAGTTCAGAATACGGAACTTCCGAGATATGTAGTTACGGTCGTTTTTGGTTCAGTAATTAGAATCTCTGTCACGTGATAATGCACAAATTGTTAGGCAATCTCATCGAGAAAGTGAAAGTTAGCAGACGCGCGCTAATGCGATTTGAATGGGAAAAGAAAGGACGCAGACAAAGAAATCAGCGGATGAACCCAGTTCATATTGGTGCTCTGTACCTGGCTGTACTGCCGATGGTCGGAAGAAAGCCAATTTAGCTGCCTATCCATGGATGAAAGGTGTGACATTTCATGCCTACCCAGGACCGCATCGCAATCCTTCGCTGCGACGCAGGTACAGGGGCGTAGTATCAGGGGGGGCCAGGGGGGGCCAGGCCCCCCCACTTTTTCTCCCGACATTATCTTTACTATAGAAAAAGTTTAATGAAAGGAAGGTTTGCCCCCCCACATTTCAGCAAAGGGTAGTGTTATAAGAAAATTTACCCCAAAAAGTTTGAATTGAAAGTAAGTTGGTCTTGAAAAAAGTTAGCCACCCCCCCCTCCCCCCCCCCCCCCCCCCCCCCCCCCCCCCCCCCCCCCCCCCCCCCCCCCCCCCCCCCCACGAAATAGGATTTTCGACTTCGGGCAAATTTTTTTTTTTTTTTTTTTTTTTTTGCTTGTCAACTTCTTCAGGTAAGTAAAAAAAAAATTTTCTCAGGTTGGCCCCCTCACTTCCAAAAACGATGCTACGCGCCTGAGGTAGGTTGATTATGTAGTTAAATATTGTTTGACTTTGTGTTTTTTTAATCAGTACACGTTTTAATTCACTGTTGACGACCAAAAAATGCACCACAGGCACCTGATTGTTTGACAGTAAATTGAAATAAAAGCCCTGCATGAACTATTAAAAAAAAAACACACACACGCAAAACTTCCCTATATTGGTTATAGTATGTACATACATGAATATGTGTTTTTATATATTGAGGAGTAGATTTTTTATTGAGGGCAGTACTTAATGCAATTTATTGTTGAAAATTCATGTGTCTGTACACATAGAGACCCTTGAAGTTGATAGAATTTATATAAATATACATGCACTCTAATATTTTTAAAAGAACTTCCACACTGACATGGTACTTGTACATGTATTTACCAGGCTTCGGGGCCACCAACCTATAAAAATCTCAGCTCAAATCTCAGCCTTAAATCTCAGGATTCTGCCTCACCTGAGATTTTCCAAAATCACTGTGCCACCACCATTTCTGAGATAGGTCTCGTGTAAGCTGAGATTTGAGAAAAATCTCAGCAGTATCTTCGTTGTTGTATGCGGCCTTTTTTCTAATATTTCAAGAATTTGTGGAATCAATGATTAAATTTACCTTTATTCAGTTGTACATGCAAATACTGAGGTGTAGATCGCGAAGAAAACACATCCCCCACTTTCTTCGTCTTTTAACTTTTTCTAGTGATTCAACAGAGGGGATTCCATTACGACATTTGCGGCAATAAATGTTCATTTAACCCTCGTAAATATATTTATACAGAAGTAAAACATAAAAACCTATCAAAACTTTGTAGTCTTGGCTCGTCTGTCGACATAAACACACAAAAACATACACTGAGGCGTCACTTCCGCCATTGTGATGTTACGTGAAGCAGGTAGGCGGATCAAGACTATTCCCTGACCCATTGATAATAAATATTTTTCTTGCTTTTGTTCTTTGTTAGATATTAATTCTCCATAGCAAAAAAAAATGTTTGGGTTATAAGAACTTTATGTATTTAGAATAAAAATAAGTGATTTTTTTTTCTAGCAGATCGAAAGTAAATAAATGGATTTTTTTAATTAAAACAATAATTAAAAAAAACAACCTCGATATATAGCTGAATTTCTCACATGTTTTAATAAATCGGGAGCGTTCCATAATTGTGCACGTGGATAAATGCGATAAGATAAACAGCGAACATATCCATGGGGCGGGTAAGAAACGCATGCTTGGTTTTAAAGGACTATTTTTTGAGAAATTGTTCAATATATTGTAGAGGAATATTCAGTTCGTAACCCCCTCCCATCGAAGGAAGAAAATCAGCTAAAAATTCGTGGAACTAAGCGCATACTCAGTACATACAGAAGAGGCAATAACACATTGCATTATTTTTCTATGATCTCGTAAAGTCTATGTTTTTTCATATTAGATATAAAAAAAAATCAACAACGAATATGCATGTTGCACGGCTTGATCAAAAATCATTGTTACATTGGAAACTCAATACAAGTCGATCTCGCATAACGAGTGGCCCTAATGAACATGCGAAACCGATTAATCTCTTTAAAAAGTTTCACTGCGTAATGATGTAACACTGATTAAACCACGCGTACGGATCACATTTTTTATTTAAAAAATTTTCATTCGTGGATCTTGTTGTGATATATACATGTACATGTATCTCAGAATGGTCATAAATGAAGCTTATACTTATAAATGAAATAAACGATCAAGGATTTAATCACAACGCATTGTTCATCTTGTTGTTATAAAGTCGATCCAAATTGTATAGATTTATTAATATATCCCCCGCTTGAAAACGGGAAGGTATATAGTAATCAATATGGCCGTCCTTCCGTCTAGCTGTCTGTCCATCCGTCTGTCTGTTACTATTTGGGGTACCCATCTCTTATCCGCAACTCCTCTCATACCACACGAATGAAATTTGATGAGACTTTCACAGAATCTTTATTACACTGTACATAATGCCATTGTGCACCTCCTATTTTACATTTTGATCTGACACATTTTGGATTTCCAACAGCATAACATGGACACTGCCATTATATTCATATGGGAGGCGCGGAGGGGGGGGGGGGTCATTTAGTGAGCTGATTGCTCACATTACCTCTAGTTAAAGAACCAAATTAGACAAATCTATCATCCATGATGGTGTTTTACATATTATTTCGAAGGAACAGAAATATTTGTACATGGAAATTTAAACAGATTTCTTTTTATATTCTCTTACAATTTATATTTAGGCTAATAAATAGTAAAATATAAATACTGGAGAAAAACAAAAGACGGGGCCAATTAGGTTTGATATTTTATCTAGTCATATTTCCAGGCTTTCCTGTATAGGAACGTTGTGAATTACATGCAATTTTGCTATGCCACAAACAGCACAAATTAAATATGAATTTCATAAATTAATTTAATTAATTCTTATAGATATGTACTAATATAATTCCCTTTTTTCCGTTTAATAAAATGTTGAATGCATGCTTGATTTCATGTGTGGGCAATACATGTATTTTAAAACATATGCATAATTAAGACCCCCCCCCCCCCCCCTCCTTACAGCATGGAAATTAACTTTCATTTTGTGCATGCTTGTTAATTTGGTGTGTTTATGGATTAAAGTGTGCATTGTTCTAACATTTGCGATCATTTTACCATCAAATAATTCTTTGAGATTTTATTTGAGACTGGTATCTATCAATCTCAAGATTTTCTGAGAAATCTCAGATTTTTTTCTCACCTGAGTCGGAAAAAACGTTGGTGGCACGCATCTTTGAGAAAAATCTCAGACGTGAGAAAAAATCTCAGATTTGAGAAAAAGTTCAAAAGATAAGTCTGAGTTTGAGAAAATATATGTTTGGTGGCACATTTTGGTGAGAAAAACTCAGATTTTCTGAGAAATCTCAGATTTGAGAAATTCTCAGGGTTGGTGGCCCCGAAGCCTGGTGTTTAAATCTTGTGACTCATATCAAACAGAATAAGAATCTGAATGTAGTATTTAATAGTTGTTTAGAAAGTCATTGTTTACAGTGCATGTTCAAAACAAAAGTGACATAATTAATTGAATTGGTTTTTTGATGTAGTAAACATTAAATTGAATACATGTAGTTTTTTTCCTTTTCGGCAGGTGGCTCAATCAGATTTTTCGCGAAGAAAAATATGATCCTGGAAGGCATCACAGAGTGTGTTCCTTACATTTCGTTGATGGCTGTCCATCGGAACAGCATCCAGTACCTACCTTGTTTCCTCGAAATAACTTTGGAGAAGGCCCACCTTTGAAGAGAAGCAGGAAATCCATTGACAAAAGGGAGATTCTAAAGGATCTCAACAATAATACTGCAGATTGCCAACCTCAGGTTTCAACAATGGTGTGTAATAATCTACTCTATGTACATAGTAAGAACTGCCTAGATTTATTTAGAAAGTACATGTACATAATTCACATTTTCAACCTACATGTATACAGACCATGAAATTTGCAGATTAGATTTTTATTTGATAAAGAGTATTCGTGTCATCTTTTAACATTAATATTTTCTATGAGTATGTTTCTATGTTGATTTTTTTTTAGGGTGTCACTGTACTTCATGATGGAAGTGTAATCCCTTTGCCCGTACATAGCGAGTGCACAGTCAGTACCACCATAGTGAATGAGGAGAATGCAGAAGTGAAGCATGGGAAAATAGCAACTAAAATCAAACAAAGTATGGGCATTAATTTTGATGTCCTTTATGAATTTCCAAAATTTAGCTTAACATATTATGGTAATACATGTAATGCATGCAAGTTAACTTTGAGATTCTTGTTTTTATTGGTATAATGGTATTCTACATAAATAGTTTATGTACTTTTACAAATTTTAGAACTGCACACAGATCATGAATACAGTACTGCACACAGAAAGTACCCAGAGTACAGTAATGCAGAAGTCCAAACAGATCTTTCCGTACATGATATAAACATCATGGAGACAGAGAGTGCCAGTTATTCCAAAGGGAATGTTTTGCGTGAAATCTTTGTTCATAAAGCCACAAGCTCTGATGCATCAGTCAGAAGATATTTTGGGTTACCCAGTATTTCTATACTTTTTGGTCTATTCAGTAAGTATTTATTGCAATAAAATTCATTTAACATTCGCGTGTAAATACAATAAATTTTCAAGTGTTGATGAAAGTAATAACAAAACTTTCTTCCAGGATGTGATAATTTACATTATGAACAGTAACCATAATGAAAGGCTGCATTGTTTTTCTATAGGCATACTTGAAAATGCAAGCAAGAAACTCAAATATTGGTCTGGCAAAGATAGCATAGATGAAAAGCGCTATGAAGAGGGCAATGCTAGAAAACCTGGTCCTGAGAGAAAGCTCACAATGTTCCACGAGTACCTTCTTACGCTACTTAGAATTCGTCAGGATTTAAACATGGGTATTCTTAAGGATATTTTTGGAATATCGGAGAGTCGTGTGTCCCAAATCTTCAATACTTGGATAAACTACATGTATCGAGTGTTTGCTCCTCAGATTAAATGGCCATCCATGCAGAAAATACGGAAATTTATGCCCAGATCATTTAAGGCATCATTTCCTAATACTCGTGTAATTATCGACTGTACTGAGGTATTCATCCAGAAACCAAGAAGTCCAACAGCTCAAAGCCAGACATACAGTAACTATAAGAATCATAATACTTTTAAAGCACTAGTGGGCATAACTCCATCTGGAGCATTTTCCTTTATATCCGAATTTTGGGGAGGAAATGTATCCGATAGATTTATAACAGCAAACAGTGGTTTTCTTGATAAAATTTCACCAGGTGACGAGGTGATGGCAGATCGTGGTTTTGTTATAAGAGATTACTTGCTGGAACAGAGAGCAAAATTAGTGATTCCACCATTCACTCAGAAATGTGCTTGGGGCAAGGGCAAGACACTATCACCTACACAAATCAGACAAACAAGACAAATTGCAAGACTTCGCATTCACGTTGAAAGAGCCATTCAACGACTTAAGACCTATCGAATTTTATCGGGTATAATGCCTTTAACCTTGAAACCAATCGCAGATCAAATTTTGGTTGTAGCTGCTTTTCTGTGCAACATTGATTCTCCACTTGTTAAAAAGTAAAAAAAAAAATGTGCATTTTCCATTCATAATTTTACAAGAGAACCAACTTTTTTTCCTTGCATTTACCTTGTTAACTTGGATAATAGCTATTGATTTAAAATACATTCTTTGACTGCTGATAATTTCTTTAATACATATTCTAATGTAGTGTACAATGTTTTGATTCTACATTCCTTTACAAAGATGTTGATGCAAGTTTACATGTACATGACATAAAACTAATTTATATTAACAATTTTTCTTACATCTGATATTTTTAAAGATGGAAAAGAAAGCCAATCAAAATACAAAAAGCTATTGTAACATATTTATATTCATTTCTGTTCAAGCAAGTTATTTTTGATGTGGAGATGTAATAAAACCATCAGAATGTGGAGTTGTAAAAGGCATCAGAGTGAAAAAATATCAATCATGTTATGTATGCATTCTCACTTCAAATCATGTTATGCTGTCTTGCTATATCTGAAAATATGGTGAACAATAAATATGAATAATAACAAGCTATTAATTTTTTTCTATTAAATTTATAGATTATCAGAATGTGTACAGGATTATTGTTAAAACACAAGATGAAAATTCAATGTTTTGATGCTGTAAAACTCAATTATAATGAACTTTCTCGTTATAAATATCAAAGAATCCTGAAAAAAAATTGGCATCTGCACTATGAACACTTGATGAAGGGAGTAAAAATTGAAGTCTCTATGACCTAGTACATTTAACCTCATTTTACTGAATTTGATTCATAAACTTTATGTTTTTATTTTCCTCACAAGTATCGGAGAAAATGTAAATGTGAAAAATATTAAATACAAACCATACAGAATAAACCTGTCTTGTGTATTTGAATACAGTGAAAAAAATACTGAATTATCATGTCAATGATGCACAGATTTGTTTGTCCTGTATGCGTTTTTATTTCACTGTGATAGCAAAGCATTATGAAGGTACTTTTCAAAGAAAAGTGTACACTTTTGTACAATAGAATTAAAAATGTCACAATCAAAATAAATCCTGTCAGTAAGTAATCCTCGTTTGGTATAAAAAACAAAATCGCACCATGGAAGGGAAAGAATACCTAATTGTCCCTGAATCTGGATATACCATGGTGAGTCATGGCGAAGATGTACACTACCATTGCTTTCATCTCTGTATAAATGGTATGAAGAGTCACCTGCAATATCATATGGCGTTTCATTTTGATGAGAATAAGAACATTTTATTTCTATAAGTCCTTTACCACAACATTTACACATTATTAAACCATCTGGAGTTGCTCCCATGTACGGTTTTTCGGTGAAAATGTGAAATCCAATGTTATTCAATTTTGCACACTTATGTCCTTTCTTGTATTCATCAAAGTACAACTGTCTAGCCACAGCTTCATTCTCTCTTCCATATGCAATTGCTGGAACATTTGACTCCCCAGTTGCATTATTTCTCGTACAATGTAATTTTCATAAGATTTTGATCCTCGAAAATGCAACACTTTTGAGAAAACAGATGCAGTTATACGTCCATGTCTGTGTCTTTTCCATTCATCACATATACCTGTACTCTGATCCTTGGTTATATCTGCTATTCTCAAGATGGTTTCTGGATTAAATACAGCTTGTAAATGTGAAGTTACAGAAATATTCTTTAGACTTGCCTCTTTGATTACTTCATGTAATCCTGGAATATCCTCACTAGTATCTTCATAATCAGATGGTGGGTCAAGTGTTTCTAGTAAAAGTGAATTAGAGTCCTTGCACATATCAAATAATTTTTTTTCAATCTCACGTTCATTCTGAAGACCTTTACAAGGGTTGTATACAGTATGACAAGGGCCGTGTTGATCATTTTCAGCTGTCGAATTGGAGTTGTGAACCTGTACATTCTGAATTTTTTCAGGTCGTGATGCAGAGCGTGGTTTATCCCATGAGCATAAGACATCAGTTCCGACTAGTGTGTGTCTGTCTTTGTGTCTTTCATTGAATGAACAAAGGGAAAAAAGAAGTGCTGTACAGTGTTTGCACGAACCATCATTTCTGTAATTAATAAACAGTCAGGGGTGGTACTGAAATCAGTCATTTTTGAAAATGATTGATAATGGTCATTTCTTCTTAGTATATAATGTACACAATTTTCTGATTTTTGTAAATATGACGTCTTTTCATCATATTTCCATTCTCAAGTCAATTTTCCCATCCCATTTACTACAGTAATTAGATATAGTACACTATCCTGCCCTAGACCCTTGTGTAGAGAAACATCTTGACAAGTAATTGAAACCAAAATAATTTAGTGCGCCCCGTAAAACTAATGAGATAATTAAGTGCGCCCAGACCTAACAATTTGATAAAAAATGATGAAAAACAGTCATTTTTAATATCAGAGATAACTCTATTTCTAAAATAAGTTTCAAAATAGAAATGACTGTTTTTCATCATTTTACTAAAAAAAGATGAATTTCCATCATTATTAAAAATCAATTTAATGACTGAAAATCATCATTTTCAAAAATGACTGATTTCAGTACCACCCCTGACTGATAAAAAAAGAATATAATTTTTAAATTTATTAATATCAAAGAAATAAATGAATATATTTCATGAATTCAAATAATCTTCTACAGTTTAGTATTCAAGTAACCATTTCAATACTTACGCAACACACGAGCATCCACCTGACTGTACTTGTCCACCCTCATTGACGAGAATCCATGTCTGGTAGGGTGCTGCCTGTTGCCTGGTTTCTGGGACTGTCTGACACTTAATATAGAAGCATGCTACATTTTCAAAATAATGAAGTTTGACATTGTCAACATGTGAACTGGTATACAGTTTGTAGCCATTGTCCTGTTTATACATTTTCAAACGTGGGGGGTCCCATCCTACACGGAGAAGCCACACCATAACATCTCCTATCTCTATGTCAGGTAATGTTTTCAAATCTGATGACCATTTATCGACAGAAATATCCTTAATGTGTGGTAACACAACTTTATTTACTGTTCGGCGTTGCACGTCGAAAGCACCAAAGTCATTATTGTTTACGTCTAGATCTTCTAAATTGATTTCTACCGCCAATTTACATAATTTAATAAGATGTCTCTTCAGATAGATGGAACATGTAATTCCCTTCGTTGATAGAAAATGCTTTAGATCAGGTACTTGCCAGGAATCGAAATCGTTCAGCGGAGTTGATGCCATTTTTCTGTAAACCGGAAGTGAGTATGCCTAACAATTGACACAAACAAAGCATACAACCCGGATCGGATACGTATCTCGGAAGTTCCGTATTTAGAAAATCTTTTGCAAAGATGCTTAAAGCAACCAATCCAACCTCCCTCCTTCTCACGAGATAGACACGTTGTAGACTTTCTTTCATAAAAATAGCAAAAAATGAAATCTGAACAAAGTGTTAAAATCTAAGACTTTGAGATCTTTAAGTGAGCATTTGTAGGAAGATTATTATTAATATTATCAGAGAAGATTTGGAAAGAAAAAGCTTTTTTCACTTTGTTTGAACAATAATTAACACCGTATAAGTGGAAATTTTAGCGAGACGAAAAATTAGCGATTTATCCTTAAAAAGTAGTATTTTATTTTTAGCGAGATGCAATTTTAGCAATTTACCGGGTAAGAATTCTCACTAAAGAAGCTATTAGAAATAAAATGCAATTCATTTTTAGCGAGATTCAATTTTAGCGATCTCAGCACCCTCGCTGATAATGCCAAAATTAAATCCTCGGTAAAATGTCTGCTTATACGGTATGGTGAAATTTTAAAAAAATGATTCTAGTAAATATCAATTATCGATAGGATCTTTGATTTCATCAAACCAAATTACATGTATTCTACCCATACAAAACTGACTAGTCATGGTAAATGATATTTCACAAGTATGTTTACTATTTCGTTTATTTTTTAGTCTATGCATTCCGAAACTATTATTATGTTCCGTACAGTTAAAATTACGCTGGCTGACTTCGATTATGAACTTGAGTAACTGATGTTGAACAAGAGTACCGTCGAACCCGATATAGTTTAACTGGAGTGACGTAATTTATCTACCATAGTTCTACCCTCGTATTTCCGTTGGTAGAACTATGGTAAAAAAATTACGTCACTCCAGTTAAACTATATCGGATTTAACAAATATTAGAAGTCAAAAGCATTTTTATCATCAATTCACAAAATCATGATTCAGTCACCATTTTTAGATGGAAATGCATATATGATGATATTTACCAAGACCTGTTGTTTCTAAGTCAAAGTATACAAATGTATGCTGCCCAGCTGCTATGGGTGTTGGAATGGGTTTGTTAAGGGAGGGGGTATTTCTGTAATGCTGTTGTCTACATTATTGTTGATGTCGGCATCAGTTTCATATGTGATCCCCTCTTTCACTGCTGATGATTCTTGACTTTTTTTGCTCTCGGCATTTTTCAATGCTCTTCTTTTCTTGTACTCTTCTGTATCTTCTTTGTCTTGTCTTTCTTTCTTTTCAAGTCTGTTTTCATGGCAATTGTGCCGGTGTGTAACGTTGAATTTTGACCCGGGTTGAAAATTGACTCGGGGGTCATTTTTCAACGTTGAATAGTGAGACTAAAGGTGTTGAATTTAGACCCTAGTCCGTTGAAAACTGAGCCGGGTCGTGGAATTCTGATCATGAAACCGGTTCAAAATTCAACAGCATAAAAACACATATTTATGACTTGGTTTTCACAACTGTGATTTAATTCATAGGTGTCTGGAACGCGGGAGGGGGGTGGCTTGGGATGCTTACCCCTTTTTTGCAAAGATAGACATAATATAGGCATTGAACAATGTAAAATTGGGTTAGTTCCCCCTGCTTTCAACAGACACGTTACAGTGTAGTCAAAAAAAGAAGAGTAAGTGGTAGTGTTTAAAGCCGCTTAACCCGAAACAGGCAAATATTATCTTACACAATAAAAGTACGTCATTACATAGAAAATATATAAAAATAAATTATAAGATTGATTTAATAGTTTATTACAACAATCCTTACATGGAAAACGCAGATCAAAATCCTTATTGACAAACAGTAGTTCCTGACGGAAGTTAGGATCTGTTGTGAAAGCAATTTTGAAAAAAATGAGCTTATCGGATATATCTAATAATGAAGCAAACCCGAGTATTTTTTCTCTATTAGTAGAAGCCTTGGTCATAATACATCTTTTCAAAATTAAGAAATCAATTGAATATAATCCATAGTAATTTATATATTAATATGCATATTTAAAGAATAAAGGAAAATCAGATATTTTAAATGGTTTTTTAAGGAGCTAAAATATTGTCCGTGTACAGGTATATTATATGTACTTTGTTGTGAAAAAATGCTCGGGTTTGTTCTTCATGAGATAAACATGTAATCGATAAATTTAAATTTTCGAAGGTGATTTCACGCGATATCAACAATGATCAACATAGGATTATTTTTTGTGTGACCTAACAAAAATTATTTTTTTAACTTTTGAATTTTGATATCTTTTAAAAGAAAAAGACTTTGGGGATATAATTTGACAAAAGTTGAAACAATTTATGGACTATTATTTTTCAAGAAGAAAAACGAATATATATTTTTAGCGATTAGAATCGGACCAAGCGACTTTTAAAAAAAAGAAATTGGATCCTACCCCCCACCCCCACCCCTATCCACCCACCCATAGGATTTTTGGGTTTAGACTACTAGTTTGGACAATGGAATTTTTTTTCTTGTCATTTTTTTTTCAAATTTGAATTTTTCTTTCTTTTTCAAATAGCCCCTCCCTCTCACTTTCAGTTTGCTTCCGACTCCAATGTAACCAATGCACACTTAATTATGTAATTCAGTTATATTCTTAGAATTAAAATATTTAAAAAATTACTTAGATTTCAAAGTTACTTGTAGCTTAAAATCACAATATTTCATGTAATATTTATTTAAAAAGAAGTACATTTTTACATGTATATGTAAATCCTGAATATTAGTAAACTTAATAACACAATATACAATTTAGTTAATAAATTTGTTTATTTATATTTTTTTGCTAAAACACTTCATTTATTTTAATTTCAAAATTCCTTATATTAGTATTTGGAAAATGGTGACGAGTTTAACGCATGATGCACGTACGTTATAATGCTTATTTAATTATGCACAACATTAATAACCTATAATGTCCAACTTGAAAAACGGAATTTTTCAAAATAAAAGGTTTAATAATCTTTTTCGCATAGTTAATCAAACAGTTCAAGAACGAACCTCACAATTAACACATATCTATTTTAATAGTTAGAGGAGGTAAAAGGGGGGATCTCCCCTTTTGGGGATTAGTACCATATATATTTAAAGAATGTGTCTGTTTTGTTTTTGTTTGTTTGTTTGTTTGTTTGTTTTGTTTTTGTATTTGTGACTGGGCTGTTTTCTTCATTTTTGTAGTTTTTTTTTTAAATCAAAAAATGTTTTCCTTAGATACACAATCCTATAACTTTCAGCGTCATTTAATATTTGTAATAAAGTAACCAAATTATAACATTGAACACCCCCCCCCGCACGAATCTGGGAAACATAGGATAGTTTGTGAGGAATTTTTGAAGCGGTCATTCTATCCAATTAGAGAAACATGGTTTGGTTTTCAACATAGGCTAGTTTCCCTTTCCATTTTTTTGCTTGTTTGTTTATTGCGTTTCGTTTATATATTTTGTTTATGTTTTTTGTCACATTGTTTCAGAGGGTTTTGATACATACCCCCGCATCCAATAAAAACTTTAGGACCCCCCCCCCCCCCCCTCTCTCTCTCTCTGTTTCTTTGAAGAGAAATGCGGTTTTTAGTTTGTTAGATCAAAAGAAGTTGCAGGGACGGCGTTTTTTTTTTAAATTGTCGATATCAAAGATGGTGGGAAGTGCAGCTTCTTGTCCATCCCAAATTCTAACTCTAGTTCTCAATCGCAAGGTTATGCTCCGAAAACGATTGATTTTTAGACCGAGGCAGGCTACTGACAGATAAGTTTGTTACAGGGATTTCACCAACCTTGTTTAAAGTCAGCATTACTTACATGTTATGGTCGCTATATTGATCTTTTTACAAATATAACCTATCATTGGATTCATTTTGACCGATGTGTTTCATTCTAATTTTCAGGCTTTTAATTTTTTAAATTTTTATACTGAATTTGACTAGATGGGATGTTCTGCCCACCTGATCACTATAATATTATATACGGCTCACTTTCTAGACACCAGTTTTCCAGGATTTTTAGGTCACCTGAGTCACTCAGGTGACCTATTGCTATCCGTTTTCGTCCGTCGTCGTGCGTCGTCCGTCGTCCGTCGTCCGTCGTGCGTCGTGTGTTAACATTTAAACATTTTCAACTTCTTCTCTGAAACTACTGAACCAATTTTAGCCAATTTTGACACAAAGCATCTATGGGTGAAGGGGAACAAAAATTGTGAATTTCATGGCCCTTGGTCCCCTGGGGCCTGTGGGGTTGGGCCAAAACCATTAAAATTAGTGCAATCTTTAAAAATCTTCTTCTTTACTCCTGGACACTAAGCAATCAAACTGTTGGCATGATTGTAATCAGCATTGCGTCCTCTACCAAAATTGTGAAATTCATGGCCCTGGGGTCAGGGGTTATGGAGTAAAGGCGGGGCTCTATTGATCATATAGCGGAAATGTAAAATTCTTTAGAAATCTACTTCTTTCTCCCTGTAAATAATGCAGATAAACCAGGTGCATGGTTAAGATGATCAAGGGTACCTCTTCCAAAATTGTTAAATTTGTGGCCCCAGGATAAAGGGTTTAGGGGTCGGGGCGTGTCTATTGATTATATATAGTGAAAGTGCATTACTAGATCACTCTTTTAAACTTCTGAACATCAGTATGAGTCAAACAATTTGCATGAGTATTATTAAGCAATAAGCCTTCTATCAATGTTTTGAAATTCATGCCCTAGGGGGCAATTGGATGAGGCTCAAGGGTGGGGCTATCTTTAAAATTTTCGTATATGTATATGCATGCATGTTTACTTACATGATGATTAAAAATACATATTATATTAATATCCTGTTTGGTGCATTGAAAATGTTCATAGTATATTACCTATTTGAATATGTACTATGAAAATGTCTGTAAAAATTTTGTTTATAAATACTGTATAAAATTCAATCACTGATTTCAATATTCCGGAAATATAGTTGCGACGTCGATATACTTTGTGATTTAGAATA